TTTATAATTCCTCCTCCTCACTTCCTAAACTACTAATATTTATTCAAACAAATTTCGCATCGCAAGGCTATATATTTTTAGCTAAAAGAGTTCATTATAAAACTACCTGACCCATCCATAATTAACATTTAGTGTTCGGAGCTAATTAACTTGAAATGAATTTTAAAAACATCATTAAATACTTAATTTGGCGTGCAAGTTCAGCGCTACTGATCTCTTTGTTGTCCGCGGGAAAAATCCTATGAACTGAATATTTACTTATTCAGGCATTCATTATTTTGTCATTCACCTTGTATAGAAGATTATCATGTTCGAAGAAGATCATGCCATAAATGTGTATGTGTTATATAATGTAATGAGGAAACTTGATGAGAATAATAAGAATCTCTATTATACCTACAAATGTAGCAATTAAAATTGACATAATCAGTTTCTGATTATTTCTGATTAGCTTTTGCAATGTGAATTCAGGGCAAACTATGTCAAATATATGGGTATACCATATATTTTATATGGACAATTATATCAAATCCTCCATCAAATCGTGATACATTTTTCAAATTAAGGAATTCAAATTGTTTACATACATGTCCCAAGTTTACAAATGCCATTACAATATCAGCATGGGAGAAGTGGTTTCCTGTTAATATTTTGTATGCAAGAAACAAACTCATTCGTGCTATTTCAGTATAAATTAACCATGAATATAGACACATCTACACTAGTCGATTATATTCAGGTCGCAGCATAAAGACATCCAATGGATTAACACATTATATAATTTGGAATAAAATTACGAAAAAATGTATTACTTATGTAATGTGAGAAATAAGCAATAAAAAGCTCAGTACTGTAAAATTTTTGTGAAATAAAAAATTGCAACTGTTGGAATTGATTAAAACTCAAATCTGTGTCTTGAAATCAATATTTTTATCGTGCAGGCTTAGGTAAATTAAAAAAAAAAGCTGGTGCAAACATATAAAATTAAATTATAAACCCATATCACATCAGCACGTCTGATCCGGCGTGATTACGTGCTGCAAAACAATATACTTTTTTATCATTCTTTAAGATCTGTCTGATAACGAAACGTCTGTAAATGAAATTTTAAGCGTTCGGCTAACAACAATCAAAATGCAATTTCAACGCGAAGAGCATGTTTAAATGAAACATATCTACATACATGTAGTCGAACATGGAAAAAAGAGAGCTGGTGTATATTTTCTTCCAATTAAATTGAAAATTGTTTGTTAAACGTCCAAACATAGTTTGATACCAAGATAGTAGTAAAATATAAGAAAGAAAATGCAGAGGATAGCGCCAGCAAATGCGCAAACGGCAATTCCACAATTCTCCTATTCTCTCTTCACACCAGTAAAATACAACGTGTTTCCGATCACTAAGGTTTATACCCAAAACTGAACGGGTAGTGATGTGGCAAATCGTAATCGTGGCAAATATATAATTGTCATGACATTTTCTAATTTGCAAAACAATCAGAGATTTTAATACAGTTTCAGGCTTTGCTATAAAGCTCATTTTTGATACTTTTTCATGACATTTTCTAATTTGCAAAACGATCAGAGATTTTAATACAGTTTCAGGTTTTGCTATAAAGCTCATTTTGATACTTTTGTTTAAAAATACAACCATTACACAATTTTTCAACCTGCCTCAAGTCTAAACACACACAGGCCGCGCGAAATCAGTTAACACGATGAACGATATTTATCCGTAAACTATTTTCGTTCATCGCCCTCCATCTTTCAACACGAAACCATACGGTCGAAATTTGCGCAATCGAAGACATTGTGCAAGATCGGATGAAATAAATCTATATATCTCAAAGAAAACATCTATTCACAACTAATAAAAAAATCTTTGCTTTTCTATGAGCCGCCTTTTTAGAATTTTATACATTAAGGATGCGCAACATCCTAAACAGATTTTAAAAGATTCATTGATAGACTATATCATCGACACAATAGGTACATTATAGAGATCACATAGATTTTATTGTATTTATATACAATGCAAATACACACAACTAAACCACTTCCCATAAGCCTATAATATTTTAAGAGGTTGGTTTTGGCTATTGACTATGGACTATCAATTCATGGGAAGTTTCATCAAAATGCAGAAAAGTGAATCAGAGGTTTCTCTTGTCTACAAGAAATTTTGTTGATAAGCAGCTTTTCCGCATATAAACGATTATTTATAGTACTACTGTCAGGCCATTTCAGTTTAATTTCCTTACAAACAAATTAAATACATAAGCCATACGGTGGTTTAATGTCTTTTGCACAAACCAAAATTTCATTGCGTTAGAGTACATATTACGTAACAGATAGTTATTTTAAGATTAAGACAGATTGAACCCGACTTCCTTAATAAAGAAATTTGAGAAGAATTCACTGGAAGAATATTTTATTATTCAGGAAATGAACAACTACTAACGCCTTTGAGATTCATGAAATACTGTAACTAAAACCGAGGATTTTTCAAAAACAAAATGCAGGCATGCCAGCTAATTGAAAAACAGTAGTTTATCATAATTTTCCATTATATGAAAATTTGCAAGAACACTATGTTTTTTTCATTCCTATAATTGCAGTTTTAATAAATATAATGGAATTAGTATATTCATTCAGGATGCTTGTGAAATTCCATTATACGCTACACCTGAATTGTTTATTTTGCAAATTCCATAGCACTATAAACAATAAACAAATGATTGATATGAGCATGCATGTGCCGGCTCTGAGGTCATAAGCCCTCAGTAGAATTTGTTATATTGACCCTAGACTTCATAGATAATACAATATCTGTTGTTTTTACTTTTATATCTTAAATTGATAAATCTGCATTTAAAGCAAAGTATATTAATGACCTAGAATAATAATAAATTTGAAATGCGATATGCATATGTTATCTTTTTACAAAACTATGCTGACATAGAAACTATTTGTTTTTATCAATTACCAATATATTTCGTTCCAATTTTAAAAAAATGCAAAACACAAGGCTTACATTGGTAGACAAAGATTACAAAGTAGGCGCCAACTTTTGATAAAATATATCCAATACGGAATTCCGTGTAATTGTTCCTCAAAATGATAACGAAGAAAAAATTCATTTCCTGGTACGAAAATATTTTATACTGCATGAATTAATAATGATTAATTAGAAATTCAAAATGAATACATTAATTCATTTTGCAGAACTAATTTTGTTTATTAATAAATGATAAAATAAAAATTTATCAACCAACTAAGAATTCAACAATGAGAAACTTAATTTGCATACCAAAAACGCATTCAATGGAAGTTACTTATGAAAAACTTGAACTAGAAAATTCTTAATCAAAATGGAGTTAAGTCTGATAGCCTTACAGAAGCAAATATTTATTAATTAACAGCACAGCCTTATTTTATAAGATCAGTTTCCTGTATCCAAATATATCAAATGTATACATCCACCCAATAACTTTCTAGAGTACAATCATATTCACTTTTACACATTTCCTAGTATTAAAATGTAGAGCAAGAACAAGAGAAATAACATTTATTTCAGATCAATGAACAAGTGAATGCAATCAATCTATGAAAGTTTTTAATTGTGATAGTCGATCTGATTGCAAATTTGCAGCTTTTATATAAATCAAACTGCATACTGGAAATGAAAATCAAAATCCCTGCTTTTGAAGAAAAATAAACTCTATATGAAAAGCTTCAATAATTCTAATACCGAGTTGATAAAAAACAGTAAATTTGTCATAGATTGGTAATAATCTCAATGAATAGAAATTAAATTTCATTTTAGTAATTTCAATTTCATAAATTGGAAGATTTCTATTGCCACTTATTATAGAGAATTTATATATTAGTAGTTTAAAAAAACAACTACTTCGATTGTTATGATATATAGGACATCCAATTTGAAAAGCTAAGTTGAAATCCAGTTAATTGATTTATGATTATAAACATATAGCAAACTACTATATCTATTTATATCACATTCAACAGGCCTAATATTCCACTGGCACATTTGTTTGAAATTGAACAGAATATGTGTGGAAGTAAACACAAGTTTTAACTATATTTCGCGCAACTCGTTAAGAATTTCTAATGATGGTGGCATTAGAACATCACAGAAATTAAACTTCCAGAAAGCAAAAAGATATACAGTAAAACCTAACAATCTATAAAGAAAATACAGGCAAATATGAAAACATATCTAAAAACGGTATCTGACATAAAAATTTCATAAAATTATTGCAGTTAACATAAGCATAATGTTATGTTGATTCCTAACAAAGTTATTAAATGTAATCTACTGCCTGTATATATAGTGAATAAAATCACTATATCTACAAAGGGACTAAATAAATACATTTTACTGGGAATACACGACCTGGATAAACTTGTCACAGAAAGTTGAAATGTATCACATTTCCATCACCCCTAAAACATATTTTATTATTTATATGTACTTTCAAGTAAAAATCGTCACTCACTTCAATACCAATGAGTTACTACAGAAATTTCAAACTCTAATAAAGCATTATATAAAATTACTAACAATTGTAAGATTCCCCAACTCCTATCTCGAATAAAATTGGTTTAACGCTCATATGTAGAAGTATTAATATTAAGATGAATTCCAAATTCTTCATATTGAGAAATATATCAAAGTAAAAAGGTAAAATGAAATCCAAAATACAAAGTACAAGTTATTATTAGAAATAGGACGATAGTCAAAAATATATCTGCATAGTATGTAATATATTGAAATAATATCAGCATATTGTTATATATATATATATATAATATATATATATATATATATATATATCTATATTATAACTATATATTTATATATGTATATTTATATACAATATCCAAGAATCAAAGAAAGCTATCTGACATTTCCCAAGTTTACATACAAGTGCTGAATATATTTTTATTTGTTTCCATATTGATAAATCAAAAACTTACATTATGATTCCAAAAAACTCTGTGTGGTGAAAAGTTATCTCATACAGAAGAGAAGTATAAGTAAGGCACTATTTTTTCATTCAATTACATATTAAATCTGCAAAAAAGAGAACTTAAATCAAAAAGTTTTCAGATAACATATTTATAAAGAATTATTTAAGAATGTAGGAAAATCTCTACATCATCAATGATGATATAAAGAGTTTGTAATTAATAAATGTTTGTTTCTGTTAAAAATAACAGATAGTTGAAAGCAATACTAATAATTTCAGATTATTGAATCAGCAATAATATTAAATTTTACCTTTCAGTCTCACAGGACACGTTATTAGTATGAACTAATAAATATGCTTAAATATAATAAAAACACTCATATTCAAATAATTAACCTTAAAACTGTAAATATTTGACATCGACATGCACTGGGACATCTGATTTGTGCGTCATAATGGCGTCCTGTCAATGTGAAATAATTAAAAGACCTGAAGTTATATGCGGAAACCAACTTCACACAATAACCACAATTTCGTTATGAAATATGAAATCATAATTATTAATTAATAATGAGTATTTAATATTTTTATTAATAAAAGCTTCACCTTAGTACAATACATTCAAAATACAAATCTATAAGTAAAAAAAAAATTAATTTAAAAAAATCTTATAGGTGTTTTAATAAAAAACACAATTAAAATAACCATAAGATACATGATTTTTGTCAATTTTATTATTTTATATAATTATTATTAATCATTAAGTGTCTAATCATCATCTGACTTATTAGAATCATTATCAGCACCAGATTTGTTTTAGAAGTATCAGCATCATCATCACCACTTCCACTAGCCCACTGCCTTCATCAGAATCCTGCAATGCTTAGTTTTATCAGTTTTCTTGGCTTTGTGGGCTTCAAAATCTGAACCATCTTCATCAGAAGAATATATTGCCCCACCAGCTATAAAAAA